ATGTATTCAGAAATAGGGCCTTTAGGAGATAATTGGGTTTAGACAAAGTCATGAGGGTGGGAAAATAAAAAGCTTATGCACAATGAAGGAAACCATCAACAAAACAAAAAGGCAACCTCCTGAATGGGAGAATATGTGCAAGTGATATATCCAATAAGGGGTTAATATCCAAAATATATGAGCAACTTAGCTCAACACCAAAACCCCCCAAATAATCCAATTAAAAATAGAGGAACTGAATAGACATTTTTTTCAAGGAAAAATCCAGTTGGCCAACAGACACATGAAAAGATGCCCAACATCACTCATCATCAGGAAAATGCAAATTGAAACCACAGTGAGATATCACCTCACACGTGTCAGAATGGCTAGCATCAAAAGACAAGAAATAAGTGTTGTTGAGGATGTGGAGAAAAAGGAACACTTGTGCCCTTTCGGTGGGAATGCAAATCTGTGGAAAACAGATTGGAGGTTGCTCAAAAAATTAACACTAGAAATACCATATAATGGAGTACCTGGGTGGCTCAGTCGGTTAAGCTCTGACTTTGGCTCAGGTCATGATCTCAGGGTCCTGGGATTGAGCCCTCCATCAGGCTCCCTGCTGAGCAGGGAATCTGCTTGTCCCTCTCCTTCTGTCCTTCCCCCACTCGTGCATGCACACAGTCTCTCTCTCTCAGTTAAATAAATAAAATCTTAAAAAAATATACCATATGATCCAGTAATTCCACTACTGAGTATTTACCCAAAGAAAACAAAAACACTAATTCAAAAAGATATGCATCCCCATGTTTATTGAAGTATTATTTATAATGGCCAAGATATGGAAGCAACCCAAGTATCCATTGGTAGATGAATGGATAAAGAAGATGTAATAGATATACAAATGGAATATTACTCAGCCATAAAAAGAATGAGACCTTGCCATTTGCAATATTATAGATAGACTTAGAGGGTATTATGCTAAGTGAAATAAGTGAGACAGAGAAAGATAAATACTATATGATTTCACTTATATATGGGCTCTAAAAAAACAAAATAAATAAACAAGCAAGCCAAAAGCAGAAACAGACCCATAAATACAGAGAACAAACTGATGGTTGCCAGAGGGGAGGGGACGGGGATAAGCAAAATGGGTGAAGGGGAGTGGGAGGTATAAACTTCCATAGAATGAATAAGTCATGAAGATAAAAGATTCAGCATAGGGAATATAGTCAATGGTATTGTAATAGTGGATTGTATGGTGACAGATGGTAGCTACTTTGTGGTGGGCATAGCATAACATACAGACTCATCAAATCACTGTGTTGTACACTTTAAAGTAATATAAAATTATGTGCCAACTTTCCTTTAAAAATATCATGAGGGTGGGGCCCCCATGGTGAGATTACTGTCTTTATAAGAAGCGGGAGAGACCAGAGTTCTTCCCCTTCCTGCCAAGTGAGGACATAGCCAGAAGGCAGCTGTCTAAAAGCCAGGAAGAGAGCCCTCACCAAGAACCCAACTGCACTGACACCCGGACCTTGGACTTCTCAGCCTACAGAACTGTGAGAAACCAATGTCTCCATTTAAGACACTCAGTTTGGGCACCTGGGTGGCTCAGTCAGTTAAGTGTCTGCTTTCAGCTCAGGTCATGATCTCAGGGTCCTGGGATCGAGACCTACATGGGGCTCCCGGCTCAATAAGAGTCTGCTTCTTTCTCTGCCTCTGCCCCTCCTCTGCCCCCACCTCAAACAAAAAAGATTTTATTTATTTATTTGACAGAAAGAGACACAG